ATATTTTCAAGCCCAGTATCGTCGATATCGATACTTCTAAACTAAACTAATCTTTTAAATTATTAAAAGAATATATAATCAATTATACTCACTTAATATTATATTTTAAAGCCGTGTTTTTAACATTTCATATGCCTTTTTTGTTTACACTGTCAGAAATAAAATATACTATAATTGTATTTTAGCTGTTTACTGGGGCAGTAACCCCTACTGCTCAAAGGTGCAACTATACCCCTAAAAGGGAGCATATTAGTACCATACAAGTATGTATGCTTTAAGGGTAGATAAGTTTCAAAGGTCCACCTTTGAGGATACCTCATGAAAAATAAACATGGTGTTACATGCGTACTAAAATGTATTATTATTATTATTACCATGGCAAATTTGTGGTTACTGCAGTTTCACTACAAATACTGTGGTAAACTGTGCAGTATTGTTTACAGTATATTACTGCAGTATAGTTGCAGTAATAAAACCATGGTTATTTTTTGTAAAAGGCTGCCAGGCTGTTGTACCCCTAAAGGCGAAACTTTAGCATATTTTTTTTCTGACAGATTTATTAACAGCAATTACAGAACATAACACAATCCATTTGAACTTTTAACAACCAGTTTAAATAAATTTACTTGCACAAACTAGCCAATTTTAAATAAATATTACATGTACACAAAAGTTTGGAGTCAGTAAGATTTTGTAATCTCATGCTCACGAAGGCTGCACTTATTTGAACAAACAAACAAACAAACAGTAAAACCAGCAATATTGTGAAATATAACAATTAAAAATAACTATTTTCGATTTTAATATATTTTAAAATGTAATTTAAAATGCATCTGTGATCAAAACTGAATTTTCAGCATCATTACTCCAGTCTTCAGTGTCACATGATCCTTCAGAAATAATTCTAATATCATTTGCTGCTCAAGAAACATTTATTATTATTGTTGCTTCATATTTGTGTGGAAACCGTGATGCATTTTTCAGAATTAATTTTATATATAGTAACAATGTTATTTAATGTAATAATGTGGCAATGGTTTCTTAAGATCTACTTACGCCTCTGATGCTTTTGGGAAACGCAGCCCTATTTGAACAAGCACTGTGAGCCATGCGTCAGCAGCGAACGCTGTCTGTGATTGATTGGTTCTGTCTTTCAGCATTTGCGTGTGTTCCGATGAGCAGGAGAAATGGTTCTATCCAACACAATTATTCGCTAATATAGTCTATTTTTCCACTTAGAAGCTTATTTTATGCCCCGAATTTCTTGATAAATAAATAAAATTAATGGTTAAAAAAATGCACTTTAGAATCAATATTTTTATGTGAGGATTGATCCTTTCGATACAACATGCAGTATCGAAAGTATCGATACTTAAGGATTGATCCGCCCATCCCTAATCTTTGCTACACAGTTTATTTAGTTTTAGAAGGGCCATCCCATTTCTAGGGGTGTGCGATATAAAGATTTTTGATCGTGGACGATAAAGAAGTTCTTTCTATGTTTCTTTCTATGTTTGAAGAAATATGGTAGTATCGTGCTACAGCACACATTATATCTGTTACAGTTCCGGTGCCTCCGTCTCAATATACTGTACAATGTGACATACATTCACATCAGTGTTAACTCAGCGGCAGAGTTACTCTCACGGGACACTGCACTTATTCAAATGTACAATGTACATTATTTGCTGTTCTGACGTGTGATTTTCTGATCACATACACATGAAGCACGTAAAGCCTGTCGCCTGTCAAACAGCGCCTGATTACTGGACTAAGTTATCCTTTGCGCTAATACTGTCAAAACACACAAGGTTTACATATAGACTCAGTTGGTTACATCTAAAATGAAAGCAAACAGTTGAGAGAAAAATGGATGCGTGCCTGTATATTAGATGCGTGCAGCTCTTAAAGGGACAGTATTACACATGCTGTCGACTGTCATTAAAGGGATTGTTCATCCTAAAATTGCATTTCTGTCATTATTTACTCACTCACGTTGTCCCAAGCCTGTATTAATTTCTTTCTTGTGCTGAACACAAAAGAAGATATTTTGAAGAATGTGGGTAACCAAACAGTTGCTGGTCCACATTAAATACTATACTGTCACTGTGGACCAGCAACTGTTTGGTTTTCCGCGTTCTTCAAAATAGCATTTATGTTCAGCAGAAGAAAGAAACTCATTCAGGTTTAAAACAACTTTTGAGTGAGTAAATGATAGGGATGCTCCAATCCGCCATTTTCGCCTCCGATTCCGATACCTAGGGTTCGGTATTGGCCGATACTCTTGAATGCTCTGGCTAAATACACCTATTGTACCTGAAAATAAAACACTGTTTGTTTTATTTGTATATTATGTGTATTTGTAATGTGTATTTCTGTTCTCATTTTTAATAACAAAGATAAAATAATGACAGATTTTTAACTTCGCCCACTTTGGCCTAAATATCTGCCTTTTTTAATATTTTGTTACCTTGAAAGGTTTTGCCTTTATAATAGTGAAATTAGTTTGGCTGTAATGCTCAAACAACTTGCAAAATAGTAAAACCAACATGACAAAGAATCGTGATAAAACCCAAAGACTCTTAATTGAGGAAATCCCTGGCTTAATTGATCTGTAACTTGCTGTTTGTGCCAAGCGGGTGGGAGCGAAAGACTGTGTGCAAGTCTCAAGTTTGACTGGACTTCATTTTTACCATGCTGGCTTTGCTTGATGTAACTTTTCTAAAGAGTAATCAAGCTCAGATGAAGTCGAAGCAAATTATTGACAGCTTTTTTGTGGTAGGATACTTATAGTATGTGTATTTCAAAAGGTTTGACTTCATATATGTTGTATTTAAAGGTCACATTCTCTCCTGTTTCCTGTTGCAGTGTATTCTGGGATTTGTACTGTGCCGCTCCAGACCGCCGGGAGACCTGCGAGCACTCCAGCGAGGCCAAGGCCTTCCACGACTATGTGAGTGACATACAGACAGTCTTTTAGCTGAGTTTCAACTTCTCGTCCAATGACAATGTGTGTTGGGGGCGGGGCTTACCCAGTTTATTGATGCGAGTGTTTAGTGAATGACACGAGGCAGATTTGCTTACCAAAGTGTCACAGGATATATTAAGTGAGCTGAATAGAGGTTTTTCCGTGTGAATTAGTGTGTGTTAGATGTGTTTTGTGTGTACATGAGTGTTTTGTTCTAGATCATGTTTCTTCCTGGTTGTCCTTTTTAAAAATGCTCATGGTATGTAATTGTGTGCATTAGAAAGACAAGTATGGGATGTTAATTTCAGTTTATTTTTCCTGCAGTGGCTTTCATAAAGCAGCTGCGCGGCGTCTCGCGAACACAGATTTGCGCAGATTCTTTAATTTGCACAGACAGACATGTAATCTGATTAACATACTGAATGCTGTGCATTCACAGATGTAATATTTCAGTAACAGTGAAAGGCATAATGAAATATCAGTTGTTGTTGCCGGGATGCCCGCAGGCTTGAGTCAGAGCGGGAAGGATAGACGGATGGCTCAAAACAGGTTGAGTGTAAGCGTCTGGTTATGCATATGTTTGTTAAAATGAAGGTCATATAAGGGTTGTTGACTTTTGTGTTGCAATGTGATTTTTAATTCAAGTATTGATTTTCTTAGTCTTAAAAAAATGACAAACTAAGTTAAAGGAATTTATCTGGTTAAAATGTGAATTATAGCCTAGATAATATGGATAGTACACATGAATTCAATTTAATGATGCAAATTAACAATTATTTTACACAGTATATTCTCAAAATGCAGGAAAAATTTTATTTATTTATTTATTTAAAAAAATTGTATATTATCCATTCAGAAAGCTGTTGGTTTCGAACAGTTCACCCAAAAATGAAAATTTGCCGAAAATGTACTCGTCCTCAAGCCATCCAAGATGTGGATGAGTTTGTTTCTTCAGCGGAACACATTTGGAGAATTACAGCATTGCATCACTTGTTCACCAGTGGATCCTCTGCAGTGAATGGGTGCCGTCAGAATGAGAGTCCAAACAGCTGATAAAAAAATCACAATAATTCACAAGTAATCCAGATAACTACAGTCCATCTATTAACAGCTTGTGAAGCAAACAGCTGCATGTTTGTAACAAACAATTTCATCAACTGTTGTTTCCGTTTTATTGGCTTTATTGGCTAAAGCTGATAGGATTATTAATCAGCCAATATTTGTCCATTTTCAGACTATCACTAAAATGATACAATTACTTGTAAATAACCAGTGATATTCCTTTAATTTGTTATGTGCTCGTAGAGGTCTGTTCTACAAACTATGTTCTAACATCTGATGAAGAAGCTTCAGAAATCTCATGGATACAAGCTAAGACAGAACGAGAGCGATAAAAAGAAAATGTGATTTAGTGGATATTATGGGATCAGGGTTAGTTCAGAGGGCCCAACCTCTAGTCTGTCTGCTGAACTTGACTGGTGGCATTTATGGAGACGACAGCCCAGAACGGGCCTGCTCAGTGTCAGGAGTTAAGTCAACATCTGGAAGAAAACAGAACCAGTTTCATTCCACTGACCAACATTTCATTGACTTGTATAAAAACCAAATATTTGACTAAAATGTTTCCAGAGGATCTGGAATTTAATCTGCTTAAAAGAGCAGTTCACCCCAAAATTTAAATCCTTATATCGTTCCATCCCCATATGTTGTTGTTTTCAATAGAACAGTGTTATTTATATACTATTATTTATTAATATTTTGAATTAGCTTTTATTTTTACATTTTCAGTTTTCATTTTAAAGTTTAAAGTTTTAGTCATTTTGTTATATGCTCTTGTCATTTTTGTTAGGGTTTTTAATATATATTTTTAAAATTTAGTTTAAATTTATTTTTCAGCTTTTAGTAATTTTAGTAAAACTTCAGTTAGTTGCCAAGCCAACATTGCTTACACCGTGTCTACACCGGATGCGAGTGGCGCGGCGCGACAAAATTCTATAGAATCCATTATAATCAGCGGTGCTGTCTACACTGGATGCGGTGCGGTGCGACACGACAAATCCAAGAACAGTAATCTGCTGCCGCGTTCTATTAATGACGTACTGACACAAATTTCAAATGATTTTTAACGGTCGCTTTGTCGCGTCCAGTGTAGACAGACTTTAGCTGTTGTGGCGCGGCGCGACAACTGTCGCGACCGGTGTAGAGACGGTGTAATTGTCAAAAAAAGCAAAAAAACTAAACACTGTAATATAATATTGTATAATGTATATATTTGTCACATTTATTCTCACATAGCTAAATATTATGACATAGCTAAAAATAAATATCTAAATATTATTACATCAAACCTGCTCCATAGGCTTCATATTCGTTCTGAGAGCTTTATGTACAAGTTATTGATTTCAGAAAACTTGGAATATAGCGTATGAGTCGAGGACTATTTTTGGAGTTTGATGTTGCTATAAACTATAGATTTTCAAGTATTCCACTGAAAAAAGTCTTTTGTCGGAATGTGTGTGTGCCCATGTGTGTTGTGGAGCTGCAGTATCATGTGTGCCGGTCTTGGCAAGGTCTTTGCTGCTACTAGGGTGTCCTTGAGTTCAGTGATTTATCATGTTTTTATTCTGATCCCTTTGCTCCCTTGTTGGGTCACAGCTCTGTAGAGGCCTGTGCTCTGTGTGTGTGTGTGTGTGTGTGTGTGTGTGTGTGTGTGTGTTTTTGTCTTCAGACCTGCATTGCCCACACCTTCCTGGCTGCTTCTGCGCTGAAAATAGGCGTGTGGTGTGTGTGTGTGTGTGTGTGTGTGTGTGTGTGTGTGTGTGTGTTTTTGTCTTCAGACCTGCATTGCCCACACCTTCCTGGCTGCTTCTGCGCTGAAATCAAGACAGTCAGGAATCCTCTCGGTGTAAGATAATGGAATATAACTGTCTAATCCTCTAATCCCAGGAATGGTTGAGGGCTAATCCAGGGATTTTGTGGGATTGGTGTTTTGGCAATAGGGATGGAATTTTGGGACACAACACCTCTAAATGCCAGAGTCGTCTGTGTGCTCTTCACTTTCTGCCGGGCTTGAGTCATAAAGCTTCGTAATGAGCATTGATTAAAAACACCGCAGACAACTCACAACAAGTTTACACCTCAGATCTGGTTGACGATCCAAGTACACGGCATGTTAGTCCTGCTTGTTAAATCAGGATGCAAAAATGTTATTTGACATAATATAATGTAGTATATTTAACATTATTATTAAATATAATAAAAGTAATTTTTCCTGATTTTGAATTTTTTTTTTAAAGGGACTAGAATAAAATAGTAAAAATAATAATAAAAATATTTAAATCAATGTTTGATTTACTTGATTTTAAGACAAAATGTTTAAAATCATGTAAGATTAAGACTCTTCTTATATATTTTAGAAAGAGACTTAGAAAGTGACTGCCATATGAAATCACATGACCATCTGTGTCTTGAAATTCAGTTGTGTCATTAAACAAATTTCAGACAAATTTACATCAAAAGTATTTTTTAGAGAATGCCAACCACAAATGCTATAACGAAGACTTGGCAAAACAAGTTTTTAGTATGTATGTTTTTATTTGTGTTGCTGAAATGTTCTGTTACTGCTTCATCTGCACAGTTTCTCTATATTTCTTCCTATTTCTTTTTCCATTTTATAATACTTGGTTTATGACCTGTTGCTAATCCTTGTTATCTTTCATATTTTAAATTTTCTCTTTAATATTGGCAGCAACCTGGAAATTTTTTTTTCTCAGATTAACGCTACCTAAAGGGATAGGTCACCTTCACTTGGTCCCCATTGACTTGCATAGTGTTTTTTTCCCATACTATGGAAATCTGTAGGGACCAGCAACTGAAGGTGAACTATCCCTGTAACGTTTTAACAGACGTTGCTTCATACACATTGAGGTTCGAGTCCTGCTTGCAACATATCCCGATCACAATCGTACTCTTTCTCCCCAGTGTAGATTTTTTTTTTTTAATGTCATAGTGGTAGAGTATTAGGATTACAATTAATCATTCTTAGGGTTGGCGGCTGCTATGATTTCATCAGGAAGATTACTGTAGTAAAATATTGAAATTGCAAACTGTATGTAGATATTGTGTATGTGCGTCTGCCTTTCTCCTTCCCCTCCCCCTCATTCCCTCTCGTTCTCTCTGGGGAAGATTGATTGGGTAATCTTGCTGTTTCCCCCAGGATGCCGTTCGCTTGCTAGCTTGGGGGAAGGAGAGGCAGTGCGGGCAGTATGACGACACACATGCACGGTTTCACCGGAGGAGAAGCGAGGCTATTTGTTAAGAGAATCCCTAGTTAAAGAGAAGAACATACGCATGTTCCTCTAAATTATTTTATCTCACATATACTCTTTTATTTTTATATGGATATTGCAGGCAAAACAGAAGAGAGCTTTCTTCATTATAGGAGAATTTTGTCAGCAAACATGAAACACAAACACAGGTTTTTTTTATTGTTTGCTTGAACATGTCGCGCTGCCGTGAGTAAAAAGTTAAAGCCACTGGCTGTTTATGATTGCTATCCAGTGAGGCGCACAGGGCTGCACTGAGCATGCTCAGTAGTTAATATTTGATCCAGACTCACTGGAGGAGGACTGGAGTGGAGTATCAAGAAGGTAAGAGAGGGTAACAAGGAGTATTTGTAAGGGTACGTGAAGAGATTTGTCCTGTTCATAATCCATGTCCTAACCATTCACAATCCAAAATATGTTCACCCCTTCAGTTTTTCTAAATCAGAACACGTTTGATGTTTATTATAGAGCTTTAAGGAGCTGGATGTTGGTCCAATCAGCATCGACTGTGGGCGGAGCTAGGTGGTTTAAATGACCTTCTTTTTTGCCACAGTTGCAGCAGGGACAAAAACACAAATTAACATGGAAGAGATGTTACGCTTGATGCTTCGTGTCAGGAATTTTTGATTCTTTTTGCATATGGTATACAGGCCCTACAGG